ACAAAACACTACAACGTATTAGATGACCAAAATACAGGACTCTAAAACATGCAACTTCATGATGCTGTAGTGTATCAGGAATATCATTAATCTCATTCCATATCAACAAAAAGTAAATCCATATTGTAAGACAGTCTGGTGTTCTATGAAAAACAAAACAAAAAACATACCTAACATAATCCAATAATTGTACTTTCTGCTATATACTTGAAGCCTCCTTCAAGTATAAAAAACTAGCATCCACACAAAAACCTGCACACAAATGCCATTTATTCTGCTGTGAACTACTATATCATTTTCAGAATTTCCTTTTCCTTTATAATGTCAGCACTCAAGAGTGGAATTTACTTTTTGTTGATATTCCCTAAGTTTAGTATACACACACAGCCTTGTCAGAGAAAATTGCACATAATTAACTGAATATTAAACTGCTCCCATCACTTAATCACTTAACTTCCTGTTAATCATCGATTTGCTCGAGCAGGTGCCAGTAACGTCTCCATTTGTCCCTGTCACGTGCTGGTGAATGAGACCAGTTGTAATTACTGGTTTTGGCATATCGAGTACACAACGGATAGCTTGCCAGGCTCTGCCATGCGAGCAGAATAATCTCGGTAGCTTGCCAGTCTTTCCGAGAGGGATAGAGGCATTTGGGGCGACCTCTAATTGCCCTGGTAGGTGTTACCATATTTGAACCCTATCAAATATGGTACGGCAATTCCGGAAGATGGGTATTTAGTGTCTTATGATATGTCCTGGAGTGTGGCGGTGGCTGGGTAGTGGAGGTAGTGTCGCAAACTGCTCCCATATATATGTATATATGCACATATATATATTTGGATTTGGAAGTCAATTTCGTGTGTGTGTCTGTGTCTGTGTGTGTGTCTGTGTGTGTTTAGGGGTCATGTCTCACAGTGAGTGCTTAGGACTATGCCAAGCATAGTGCCTGGGAGATCATATAGTGTTGGGATCAAATCCAGGTCTCCCTTTTGGGTCATTTCCCTTCCCCATTAATTTAACATATTTTATCAGAAAACAAAGTGAATGACCAGAAGAATACTGCATGACTTATAGTTCCTGCCTTGCACAAGTATGAACATGAGTTCAAATCCCTCTGTCCTATAAGCGCCAAGGGAAATCCTGATCCTGGAAGTTTTGCTGTCTGTGATCCCCTGTGGCTCAAGTGACTTTTAGTCACACAGTCAAACGTAAGAACCACAAAAAGGGCTGCAATCCCTAGCATGCACTACAAGTAGATGTGTAAACATCGTGGCCTAGAAGTTTGACCTCTGGCAAGCATGTACAGTTAACCCCAGCAAGCACCACAACAATTACTTATCTGCCCCAACAGAGACTGTGAGCCCCTGTCACCAGGAGAATGTATGTAAGTACCACAGCTAAGAGAGTGGGCATCAAAACCAAGTATGTGAACATTGTGAGCTGATATGTGATCCCCAGGTAAACATCACAGCAAAAAATGTGCATCACCTGATCATCATATCAACAAAACCGAAAGGAAGTGTGGGAATGGTAAAAAGAATTTTTCTGGGGGTGCAGTGCCATTTCTGATACCCCAAAATCGCTGCTGTTCCTTTGATCAAAAAACTTGGCCCCAAGTTTCCTGAGAAATTAAACAGCCGAAAGTTAGGTATGTGGGAGTCACACACCCACAAACCACCTCTGGCTCAGCTATAGAAGCTCATTTATCAACCTTGTTTAAAAGCAGCAGTTAATCTTGAACCACGAAAGGCTAAACAGACCAGGTAGATCAGAGAGGGTGGATCAGCCTGGTTCCCACCCAAGCAGAGGCCCTGGCAGCGGCTTGCTCCCACAATCCAAAATAGCTGCCATTCTCCCTGCTGGATTCCAACATCTCGGACAGATCTCACCAAGATATAATCTGCTGAAAATTTGGGTATATGGGGTTTTGTGACTAAAATCTTCATACTGTCTTAGGGTCAGGATGAGTTACCTACCCCCACCTCCCTGTACTTCCAGAAGCCTCAGAAGCCTCAGCAGTCAAGTCCACATCCCAAAGCTACTACCCAGTTAAATAATCTACTCTAGCCTTACCCTCCTAATAAAAACACTATTCACCCTGAACAAACAGCCCTGAACAAGCATGATGACCTCTTAGTACCTGTATTGCAAACCATAATGCACAAAAGGAGAACGAAAAAGAAGGAAAGTGCCTGCCTTAGAGGCAGACTGGGGAAAGGGGGTTGGAGAGCACTGGGGATTGGGAGATGGTGGGAGAGAAATGGGAGCCTTTGCTGGTGGGAGGGAAATGCACACTGGTGGAGGGATGGGTGTTGGATCACTGTATGACTGAAACCCAATCATCAACAGTTTTGTAATGGTTTATCTCATGGATATTGTCACTGTCCTCCCGTTGTTCATCGATTTTCTTGAGCGGGCCCAGTAACATCTCCAGTGTGAGACTTTGTTGTTACTGTGTTTGGCATATTGAATACGTCACTGGGAGCTTGCCAGGCTTTGCCGTGCAGGCGAGATACTCTCGGTAGCTTGCCGGGCTCTCTGAGAGGGGCAGAGGAATCGAACTCGGGTCGGCCATGTTGGCTGCGTGCAAGGCAAACGCCCTACCTGCTGTACTATTGCTTCAGCCCCTCTCATGAATATTAATTTTTTTAATTTAAAAAAGAATTTTTCTAAGTACAGTAGATATTTTAATTTTAAAAAATAAAATACAGGGATGGACCCCGGCAGCAAGGTGGCCACCACCTCAGAACTTATAGGAAAGCCAAGTATGAGCCGGCAGCTTGTAATGATCTGGCTCTTTGCAGAAATCCAAAATCATTATATGACATTATATGATTCTCATAACAGCTATAGAAAACAAAGTATTTCACAATGCCTTTTCAGCAATTCTGATTGTTGGGGGGAAAATTCTAAACAATAATGGTGCATCTTTTGTCGAAATAATGAATGTAATCAATGTAGAGAAGGGTTAAATAGAAATCATCTGCCTCACAGTCATTGGGAGGGGTGGTGGAGTATATTGGGGTTCTTGGTGGTGAAAAATGAGTACTGGTGAAGGGAAAGGTGTTTGATCATTGTATGACCGAGACTTAAACCTGAAAGCTTTGTAACTTTTCCCACAGTGATTCAATAAATAAATACAAGAAGAAAAAGAAGAAAATATAGGGATGGAGAGATAGTGCAAGGGTAAGACACTTGCTTTGCACACGGTTAATCCTGGGTTAGTCCCCAGCACCACATATAGTTCCTTGAGCACCACTAAGAGTAGTGACTGAGCACAGAGCCTGAAATAAGCCCTGAGCATCACTATTACACTGTCACTGTCACTGTCCTCCTGTTGTTCATCGATTTGCTCAAGCGGACCCAGTAACATAGTGAGACTTGTTATTGTGTTTGGCATATCGAATACATCACGGGTAGCTTGCCAGATTTTGCCGTGAGGGCGAGATACTCTTGGAGAGTTTGCCAGGCTCTCCAAGAGGGGCAGAGGAATTGAACTCGGGTCAGCCATGTTGGCCGAAGGCAAGGCAAACGCCCTACCTGCTGTGCTATTGTTCCAGCCCAACTATGACACAAAATCTATAAATAGATCACTTGATCACTTGATACCCTGTTACTCATCCATTTGCTCGAGCAGGCGCCAGTAATGTCTCCATTCATCCCTGTTGCGTGCTAATGTAGCCCAGTGGCATCTGCTCGTTCTAGGAACATGAAGAGCCTCAAACAAATCATTCAGGGTCTTGACGCAGAAGTCCGACCATCTCGTAGGTGGGTGTCCACGCGATCTTTTGACATCCCATGGAATCTAGTCAGTAACGGCTCTAGTCCAGCAGTCATCTCTAAATCTCATTGCATGTCCAGTCCATCTGATTTTCGATGCCTTGGCAAATGAGACAGTGTCCCTGATTCTTGAGCGTTGATGGAGGTCGGAACTCTGGATTCTATCTCTAATTTGAGTGAAACGTGATACTCCAAGCATAACTCTTTCGATTCCTCTTTGAGAGACCAGAATAGCATTCTCATCCTGTTTTCGTAGGGCCCAGGTCTCTGAGGCATATGTTAATGCAGGAAGAACAGTGGAATCGAAGAGATGTGCTCAGAGCTTGAGGTTCTTTGTCCTCTTAGTTATTTTGTCGACACTCTTGAAGGCATTCCAAGCCACTCTCTTTCTTCTGCGTAACTCAGATGCCAGGTCATTCGTCATGTTGACTTCTCGACCTAGGTATATATAACTGTTGCATTTGAAGATGGTCGTTCTGTTGAGAGTAAATGGAACGTCAGGAACAGGACTGTTTCTCATGAACATTGTCTTTGTGAGATTCAGTTGTAATCCGACCTTTCCACACTCAAGGTCGAAGTCAGTCAGTATTTGTGCCTCTTGGCTGATCTTTGGTGTTATTAGTACGATGTCATCAGCAAAGTGAAGGTGGTGTAGTTGCCGACCATCTATCTTCACTCCCATTCCTTCCCAATCCAGTTGTCACATGATGTTCTCAAGGGTGGCACTGAAGACTTTTGGTGAAATGGTCTGCCAAACCCCTTTCTTGACATGGATGATCACTTCTTTGTAGAATGGTGAAATCCTGGTAGTGAATTCATAATACAGCTCATGGAGAATCCTGATGTACTGAGTTTGAACGCCCTGATTGGCTAGGGCTTTGATGATTGCTTCTGTCTCAACAGAATCAAAGGCCTTCTTTAAATCAATGAATGTTAGACAGAGCGGCACCTTGAACTCCTGAGGAACCTCAATGAGCTTGGTTATCGTGTGGATATGGTTGATCATGCTGAATCCTTTTCGGAATCTGCCTTGCTCGCATCTACAACTAGATAAATAAGATAAGTAAAAATTAAAAGAATGTTGTCAATCTAATATACAATATCACCATCCTTTGGTGACCAGGTCCCCTGGTGTGTTTGGGACCAATAGAGGTCCCCCCAGTTGGTGGATGAAAAAAACAGGTCACAGGCTGATGGCTGACAACATTTTTATTGAAATCAGAGAGGTTTCTAAAGGAAAAGCATAAGGGTTGGGGAACAGGGATTAACATGAGTTTGGTTGAACATAAACATAAACATGGATTTGATTAACATAAACAGATATAAAGCACTTGCTTTGGATCTGGAGCAATAGTACATGGGGTAGGCATTTGCCTTACACGTGGCCGACCTAGGTTCAATTCCCAGCATCCCATATGGTTCCCTCAGCACCGCCGGAGTAATTCCTGAGTGCAAAAGCCAGGAGTAACCCCTGTGCATCGCCAGGTGTTACCCAAAAAGCCAAAAAAAAAAAAGCACTTGCTTTAGGGGAAGTTCTTCTCGGCAATCCACCCATGTCGGCACTCCATCTCTGGAGCTCCAGCATTCTGGATTCTAGTCCCCAATAATACAATTCCAAATGGCAATAGTTAAAATAGGAATCAGTGAGGCACTTTAAAAATGTCTTATGAAATGTTTTATAAAATTTAAATTAAACATATAACATGTCTTATAAAATTAACATGTTTTATAATTTTTTAAAACAGATCATTCAGACTTTTTTCCCTCTAGAGAAGCCCATGTTCTCTCTTGCACATGTATCTCTCTCTTGTTCTCTTTTTCGCTCTTCACATTTCTCTTAAAGTAAATTTCTTTAAAAATATTTTGCTTCACTTTGAAAACACATTGTAGAGGCCTGGAAAGATAGTATCGTGGGGAAAGTGTTTGCCTTGCATGCAGCTGAAGCAGGTTTAATCCCTGGCATCCTATATGGACCCCTGAGCACCTCCAGGAGTTATTCTTGAACCAGGAGTAATCCCTGAGCATTACTGGGTGTGACCAAAAAGGACAAAAAAAAACTGACATACAAAGAACTACACATATTAAATAAGTTCCAATTTGATACATTTAAACATATAATACAAAGAATAAAAATGCTGGGAAGGATGACTGGGAGGGTGGAGGAAAGCAGACACCCTGGGGATGGGTGTGGTTTGAAATGATATAAGTACAAAAAGTATATTTAACAGCATTATAAATACCAGAACCTTAATAAAAAGGTAAAAATAATAAAATATATAAATAAAAATAAACATATGACACATATATGATACCATCACACAATAATGTGGGGTGATTGAGCATGTCTCCCCACCTCCTTACTGTATGCTAATGTAAGACACAGACACATTCAGACACCCTGACTCTTCAGGAAGAAATGTCAGGAGATCTTAAAGTCACAAAGCGAGGCTTGAAGAAATCTTGCACCACTCATTTGCCACAAGGAACTCTCTCACACTGTAGAAGAAAATAACCAAGAACAAATTTAGTCAGTTGCTATTAAGTGGTAATATTCTGATAACCTTCCATTCTCTGTCTAAAATCAAAGAACCCCCAAAATCCAGTCCTGTCCCCTTTATCCCCCTCCCTTTGTACTTCAGACTCCATGATCTCACCATTATGATCTATAACAGTCATAACAGAGTCCTGGCACTGCCACCTCCTGAGGTAGAAGAAACACATCTGGGTGAGAACCCACAGATGAGATTCAGGGAGAAACTCTGAGGAGAGAAGGCTCCATGGGCTCCAGTCTACACTGTCTCAAGTATCTCAGGGATCACCACATCCATACTTACTGGCACCCTAAATATAGTTCCATTTTTTCCCATCTGTGGAAAGAAAACATCACATGAGCTTCCAGCAGAAGGCACAGCCAGGCAGTTCTATTAGACTGGGACCATAGGAAATTTTGAGGACTGTGACCCAGGGCAGGATCAGGAAACACCCAAGGGGGAAGGATCTGTGGAAACTGCACAAACTGTCTTCTGGAAGATCAACCTCAAGGAAGACTGTTCCCTTTGACCTACAACTCTGGGGAATCTGTCATTAGCATGAAAAATTTAACCCTTTCCACACAAGTCTTTGGAAAAAGTTAACCCTTTCCACAGAGACTGGGGGAAGCCACATACATAGAGTGGTTCCTTGTATTGAAGCAAAAGATTGGGAATTTTCTACCTGCTGGAAACTCCCTAGTGGGGCAAAAGCACAGCACAAAAGCTCATCCCCTTCCCTACCTGAGGGCTTCTTCCTGCATCTCACAGCTACAGCAATCACAACTCCAAGGACAACCAGCCCAGCGATGGTTCCCACAAAGGGGGTGATCAGCTGAGAAGGGGACTCTGGGAGGGGAGAAAACGATTAAACCCCACAAGGCTCAGTCCCTACCTGATGAAGCTCCCCAGAAAGGCCACTGATCCCCCTGAGAACAGGCTCCGTCCCCCTCCTTACCCCATCTCAGGGTGACAGGCTCCGGCAGCCCCTGGTGCTGCACATGGCATGTGTATCTCTGCTCCTCTCCAGAAGGCACCACCACAGCTGCCCACTTCTGGAAGGTTCCATCCCCTGAAGGCCTGGTCTCCACCAGTTCTGTGTCGTGGATCAGGTCCTCCCCATCACGCTGCCAGGTCAAGGTGATCTCAGCAGGGTAGAATCCCCGGGCCCAGCACCTCAGGGTGACCTCATGGTGAGAGGTAGGGTGGCGGGTCACATGTGACTTTGGGGGAGCTGAAGAAAAGGTGAGAAAACTCAGGAACTTTGCATTATGTCCATTATACCACTGAAAATGGAAAGGACAATTGGAATTAGAGGAAGTACACAGTCCAGATTCTAGGATCTGGGAGAAGGTTCTATTCCTTGGAAAGTTCTAAAATATAACAAGACAGCCCAGGATAGGAAACTCCAGGTATTTGATTGGGCCAATAGGTACTTTTGGTCCTGATCTGGGTGGAGTGAGTGATTCCAGTGAAACTGGATATGGGGCAGTGAAAGAGAACTTCCAGGTTCAAAGAAATCTACTATATTTTTTCCTTTTGGGGTCACACCTGGCAATGCACAGGGGTTACTCCTGGCTCATGCACTCAGGAATTACTCCCGATGGTGCTTGGGGGACCATATGGAATGCTGGGAACCAAACACGGGTCAGCCGGTGCAAGGCAAAAGCCCTACCCACTGTGCTATCTCTCCAGTCCAAAGAAATCTACTATGAAGTTATTTCAGAGATCTTCCTCTCCATCTTGGAGGATCTGCATCCCTACACGCCCTGAGGAAGAATGGTTCCTCTGGGCAAGACATTTTGGTAAAGGCTATGAAAACCCAGGAGAGCTCAAGACAGGGGACATAGGGAAGAATTCCCGTGTCAATTCCATTTTTCTCCCCCTTTGCACGCAAAAGGGGTTTTGCACCAGCCCGGGAAGTCAGGAGGTCCCTTGGTCTCTGGTACCTGCGCGCTCCAGGGTCTCCTTGCCATTCTTCAGGTATCTGAGGAGCCACTCCACGCACTCCCCCTCCAGGTATACCCTGTAGTGGTCTGCAGCTCTGGCCTCCTCCCACTTGCGCCGGGTGATCTCCGCAGGATGGTCCGCCGCGGTCCAGGAGCGCAGGTCCTCGTTTAAGGAGATGTAATCTTCTCCATCATAGGCGAACTGCTCGTAGCCGCGGAGGAAGTGCCCATCGGGTCCCACGTCGCAGCCAGACAGCCACTGGAAGGTGTGAGACCCTGCCCCGCCCTCAGTGTCAGCCCCGCCCCCTGGATCTCGCAACCGCTCCCCAGCTCAGTGATGATTGGTCAGGACCCGTTTCCGCTTAAAGTGACAATCAAGTGTAAGTGAATCCCAGCGGGTTTTTCCCGGGTGTCCGGGCTGGAAGGTTCTCTCAAATTTCCGGATGAAACTCCGGCCCAGACACTCGAGGAGACCCCGGCTCGTCCAACGGGGATGCAGGGACTCGTGACTTGCACTCCGGGCCCAGGGTCACTTACCCGACTCGCTTTGGTTGTAGTAGCCAAGCGCAGTAACCAGATTCGAGCGGCAAGTCTGTGCATGTACTTTGGCAATATCCGTCTGCACTTCCCAGAACTGTGGCCCCTCCTGTCCTACCCACGGCGCCCGCGGTTCCACCCGCGGATTCGCCGAGTCACTGTCGAACCGCAGGAACAGCGTGTCGTCCACGTAGCCCACCGACACGTACCGCGCCTCTCCACGGCCGGGTCGCGACACCGCCGTGTGCAAATACCTCAGGGAGTGGGGACCTGGAGGGGGCGAGGGTGAGTGAGGGTGAAGCACCGAGACCCCGCCCGACCCTCCTCCCCAGGACGCGGACCCCAGTGCACGGGGGTGACTGGGACGCGCGCGAGATACTAGGGGGCTCGAGAGCGGGAAGGGGGAAGCGGAAGATCGAGAACTTAAGGATAAAGGAAGGTCAGGATCGGGGCGACCGTGGGAGAGCGGTGCTCTGCGTCCGCCTGGACGGAGCAGCATTCCCGAGGATCCTCTCGGCACCCTCTGAGTTTATCTCCCGGCCCCCACCCCCATCCCCACGGCCGTTCTTCTCTGACCCCGCACTCACCCTCGGAGATCGGGATCAAGGACAGCGCCCAGAAGAGCAGCGGGGCGAGCGACCCAGGACTCATGACCCTAAACTGGTCCAGGGGGGAAGACTACCAGGGTGGATGAACTGGCTAAAACGGGATCCTCGGGCGCTGATTGGTGTCTCCGGGGGCCAATGGGAGTGCGAACCGAGGTGGCGTAGCCTGTGTCCGGGAAGAATGCGCTCTACCGGGTTGAGAAGTGAAACTGCGCTGATGGGAAAGCCCCAACCGTCACTTGCCCTACATCACACACCCGCTTGAGATCCGAAGATCGAAACTCTCCCGGGATCGCGAACGTTGCCAGGAGTCCGCTCCTGACACTGTCGCTGTGTCTCTTCCCGAGTTCTGGCCCGGGGACTATCAGAAAACCGGGAGGAATCCCTGAGCGGGCGCAGCCGGTTTCTTCCCCTTCCCTTTCTGCATTCCCTCTACCTGAACCTGTGTTCTTCTCCTACTCCCCCCCCTCCCCCCGGATTCTTGGTTTTGGTTTTGTTTGGGGGACCACACCTGGCGGTTCTACGGAACAGCTACAGAACACTTCCGTGCTCGCTCTGTGCTCGTGCTTCTCCCTGTGCTTGCTCCCTGCGCTGCTGAGGGGATCGGGCGGTGCCTCAGCCAGAATCCACTCTCCTCCGGTACTCACGCTATCTCTCTGCACCTCCTTCTGCCACCCTCTTCTAGAGAAAAACTCACTCCTATGTAGTGAGTGGCCGTCAGGAAGTTGGTGAAGAAACAGTGACTTCCTCTGGGAAAAGTACAAGTGGAAACTCCCACAGAGGTGGGGTTTGTTATGTTTTATTTCGTCTTTGTTAACTATAATGGTAACATCCTCTTAAAATCCCGGAATAGGGCCCAGAGGGATAGTACAGCGGATAAAGTGTTTGCCTTGCAATCTCAATCCCCGGCATCTCATATGGTGCCCCAAGCAATGCCAGGAGGAGTTCTGAGTGCAGAGCTAGGAGTGACCCCTGAGCATTGCCAGGTATGACCCTAAAAGCCAAGAAAGAAAGAAAGAAAAAAAAATAAGAACAGAATATCAGGTGTCTTTTGTTTTTGTTTTTGGGCCACAGCCAGTGGTTCTTATGAGCTTATTCCTGTCTCTGTACTGAAGGAACCATGCGGTGCCAGGGGTTGAACCAGGTTGGCCAAAGCAGCTGCATGTAAGGCAAGCACCTCGCCTCCTGTACTATATCTCCAGTTCCCAGAACATTAGAAATTTTAACTGTAAACATACTGATTTCACTCTATGCCTGTGACTAGAACACTCTCACATGGTTGATTTAAAGACCAAGCTTTTGGGGCCACTGCAATGTCTTTTAAACAGTCAGCAACTAACTACCTTTCATTTGCAATTTTTCAGTTTGTACAGAAAATATGGTTTAAATCTTTATTTAAGACATTCGCCATTTTCTGGGGCCAGAGAGATAGTACAGCAGGTAGGGCACTTCTTGTTTTGCACGTGGCCAACCTGAGTTTGACCCAGTTTTAATATCTGGTACCCCAGTTGGTCCCCCAAGCCTGCCAGGAGTGATTCCTGAGTACAAAACCAGGAGTAACACCTGAGCACTGTTGGGTGTGAGAAAACAAAAACAAAAAAAAAACACAAAGATAAGTAAATAAAGCATTAATAATTTCAGTCCCATCTGCATATAATTGACTGCATGGTTTGGTGCACTTATTTGTCAAACTATGAATATATGTAGAGAATCATTTATGTATATAGAGATAATAGTCAAATATCCTGAGACTAGATGAAACTAAAGCATTCTAGTAAAGGGAGCTGGCAAAGGAGACTGAGAAGTGCTGCAGTAGAAAACTAGAACTGCACACAAAAGTTTTAATGAAGGAGGAAGGAACATAAATTATCTGATGCCAGCACTTTTTTTTTCTTTTTGGGTCACACCCAGCGATGCACAGGGGTTACTCCTGGCTCTGCTCAGGGGACCACATGGGATGCTGGGGATCGAACCCAGGTTGGCCGCATGCAAGGCAAACTCCCTACCTGCTGTGCTATCACTCTAGCCCCTGGTGCCAGCACTTCTGAGAACCACTGGCATCAGATAGCATCATAAAGGTATGCAGTAATTCCACACCTACATATATATCTTAGGAGAACTCATGCAAGGAACCATTTCTATCATGTCCATGATAGAAACAATGTAAAGGTTTGTAGAAAAGAATGAGATATCACTCAACATATTTCAATGATTTCTCTTTAGCAATGAAAATTAACCATTTGTATAAACATGGATTTATCTCACATACAACTTTAACTGAAAAAAAACCAGAAAAAAGATGAGTTTAGCAAGAAATAATTTGTACAAGCTCTTAAAACGTGCCAAGAGCATTGAAAATTTAGCAAAAATTCAAATGTATACCACCAAATTCAAGATAGATACACCACACCACAGGCAGTTCTTTGTGGGAACTGTCTGCATACATTTACTTGATAGGCTACAGATAGTACAAAGACATAAAAACATTACAATTTACAGCACTGTAATATATCTCCATCAAATTTTCTGATAGCACAGCGGGTAGGGCGTTCGCCTTACAAGCGGCCAACATGGCCGACCCGAGTTCGATTCCTCCGCCCCTCTCGGAGAGCCTGGCAAGCTACCGAGAGTATTCGATATGCCAGACACAGTAACAACAAAGTCTCCAATGGAGATGTTACTGGGCCCGCTCGAGCAAATCGACGATCAACGGGAGGGCCTTTTTTCTTCAGTTATAACTACTTTTTTATTTTTTAATGAATCACCATGGGGTACAGTTACAGACTTACAAACTTTCATGATTACATTTCAGTCATACAACGATCAAGTACCTATCCCTCCATCAGTGCCCATTCACCACCAATGTCCCTCCCGCCACCCTATAACTACTTTACAATAAAATATGATCAAAAGAACTGAAAATACTAAAGGGAAGAGTAGTATCAGTGTGAGAAGGCTGTGAGAGGCAAAGCAGTCTAACAATAGCCAGAATCTGGAAACAACCCAAATAACTGAAAACAGATGAGTGGATGGTATATCTATACAATGGAATACAATGCAGTCATTAGAAAAAAATTAGGCCATGAAATTTGTTTATATATGGATATATATGAAGAGAATTATGCTGAGTGAAATGAGTCAGAGGGAGAGAGACAGACATAGAATGATCACACTCACTTGTGGGATATTAAAAAAAAAAAGTAGTATGAGAATAATACTCAAAGACAATAGAAATGAGAACCAGGAAGACTGGTCCATGGTAAGAAGCTTACTACAGTGTGGGGAGGGGGAAGCATAGTTAGGACAGAGAAGTTATAACAATGATAGTTGGAAATTATCACTCTGGACAAGAACTGAGTGCTGAAAGAAAATAAAGTGATATTCATGATAACCCTTCAGTAACAGTATTGAAAACCACAGTGTCTAAAAGGAAAATGGGAAAAACAGGAAAAGGACAGAGAGAGACAGAAAAAAGAGAGAGAGAGAGAGAGAGAGAGAGAGACAGAGAGAGAGAGAGAGAAGTATCTGCCATAGAGGCAGACTACAGTGTGGGAGGGAAACTGGGGTAAGTATACTGGTAAAGAGATGGGTGTAGAGGAACATTGTATAACTGAAACTCAATCATGAACAAAGATGTAAATGTGCATCTCACAGTGATTCCATTTTTAAAGGGGGGGGAGGAAGTACAAATAGCCAAAAGGCATATGGAAAAATGCTCTGTATCACTAATCATCAGGAAAATGCAAATCAAAACAATGAGATACCACCTCATACCAGAGAGACTGGCACTCATTAAAAAAAAAAGTATGTAAGTGGGGGATGTGGGGGTAAAAGGGACCTTCATTCACTGATTGTGAGAATGTTGACTAATCAACCTTTTTGGATGTCAATATAATCATTTCTAAAAAAAATTAAAAAACCTAGCAATTGAGCATCCAGCAATCCCTCTCATTGGAATATACCCTGAGGGCCCAAAAGCACAATGCAGAAAAGACATCAGCACTCTTATGTACATTGCAGCACTATTCACAATAGCCAAAATCTGGAAACAACCCAAGCCTCCAAGATTAAAGTTAAAGTGACTGGATAGAAAAACTATGATACATATACACAGTGAAATACTACTCATTCATAAGAAAACATAGACAGAATCTCCTGACCCCGCTCCTGGCTGTCTTCATTGGGGCACTTCAGATAGGGGTGGATTGAGTTTCCCTCCCTGCCCCAAGCAGAACCCCAGCAGCAGAAAACCTCCAGAACCCAGCCACAGCCATGCTCAAGGCCACTCTCCACATGCTCAGACAAGCCTCACCCATGAAGGAACCGGCAGAAGAATCCAGGTATGTGGGACCCGTGGCTGAGATCTCCAAGCCTGCTCGAATCGGGACTAGGCCTACTCCACCCAGCTCCCCAGTTTTCCAGTAGCTTGGCAGTCACACACACAAACTGCCCCCGGCGCCATGTAATTTCATCACCAGTGAAGATTCAAAGACTATAAAATAAAGGTCCCGGAAGAGAGCAATGCAGCATTTCCTGGAGCACACGGCCGCATTAGCGGCCAAGCAACCTCTTACACTCCAGTCCACCAATGTACCTAAAGTAGCACTCATTTGTTTGGTTTTAATATACTTGCTTGTATTCTTTTACATATGGGCTTAAATGACTCCAGAATGAAATACAACCACCTCCACACACTTCCCTCTTGTTGTGGTGATAAGATGCTTATTATTAAGATGGGTATTTGAATATTATCTGTAATGAACTAGTGTGAGCTACTTAATGAAAATAAAATGTATAAAAAATCACAAAAAAAGAAAATATGAACTAATACAATTGTTGATATATAAATAAATCCGGAGAGTATCATGCTGAGTGAAATGAGTGAGAAGATGAGATGATCTCACTCACATGAGGAATATAAAGAAACACAGTTAAGAAATAACAAATGCCGAAGGTATGGTGCCGCCAGCAGGTCAATTTGTACCTGTGAGGCGAGTGCATCAGCAGCCTGATGGCACCGTCAGACTTTCAGATACCCCAAAATTGCTGCTGTGCCTTTGGCCAGACCCCAAAAACTTGGGGCA